CAAGCGCATGAACTGGAACGGCGCCGCAACCTTAGGGTCCAGGTTCGACGGTGGACTCAGACGTATATGGTGGTCCAGCACGACTGCTTGTGTCGTAATGCGGTCGGAGCTGCTGTATCTTCCTCGCATGGTGACCGTGCAACGCTGCAGACGTCCTGATCCGTTGCGTTCCAGTTGGAGATCTCTCACCAGTTCCGAATCAACCAATGAGTTTGGTGCGCAAGGGTCAATCATTGCGCGAACCAAATGAAGGCGGCCCCTTGCTTCAATCCGCACTATTGCGGTCGGCGCGATGGGGATAAGCGCACGAATGATCGGCGTTGATATGGCGCTTTGCACTAGGCGGCCCGTTCGGAAGCCGGTCGGTGGAGCGCGTTGTAAGGCACGACTATTGATGTTGCTGTCGTTTGTGCGCGTTTTGTGGTATGGTGCTGCTTTGCGTAGCCTAGACGATCGCTTAGACGAGCGGAAAGTACGAGTTTCCGCGCCGTCGTGTCGTTTTGGCTTGCGTTGCGATCGTGATGCCGGGCGGAAAGGACTGGTTTCCGCGCCGCCGTGTTGCCGCCAGTTGTGTTGTTGACGCGTTTGCGAGCGGAAAGGACGAGTTTCCGCGTCGCGTCGGTTGTATTGCTGACGCATTTGCGAGCGGAAAGGACGAGTTTCCGCGTCGCGCCAGTTGTGTTGTGCACGCGTTGGCGAGCGGAAAGAACGAGTTTCCGCGTCGCCCGCGCGTGGTTGTAACTTGTCTAACGGTCTCGGTGTGCCAGTTCCAGAGTTGCGCTTTTGTCGCTCATGTGGGGAAGAGTCTGTCCTCTCTGACCCCTCTAACTCCTCCTCTTCGACCTGCTGCGCCCACGACTTCGTCTGCTCCGTAACGTCGATAGAGAGTGCCCCGTCCGAGCTCTCGCCGTCGTTGATCGCGTTCGCTGGGTGCCTTTGGTCTTCGCAGTCATCGAGATGGAGCGAGGTGTGATGCTTTTCGCGACATCGGTGGCATCGATCCGTGCTGCTGCACATGTCGAGGCGGTGGAACGGCGAGAGGCAGTTTGGGCAATATTTATGCAGCAGGACTGCACGCAGCCTTGCTTCGACCGCTTTGCCGCGGTAAAGGGGGCATAGTCGAATGCCATGCGCTCCGCCGCATAGCCGGCATAGAACCGTGAATTTATCAGCGCGTTCTTCTGCATGTGCGCGATTAGCCGAGAAACGAGTCATTCTGTAAATGAGTCTCGTAGTTATGTCCGTAGGTGTAAAAAGTTACGTACTATTAGTTTTGGGTTGGGTGGCAAGTGGCGAATATATGTATGCCTGTATATCTCGTGAAAGCACATTTTATATATACGTGTGATATACTTATGTACATATATATATATATATATATATATACTATTTGTTTATTTATTTAATTTGTTTTGACTTGGTGAAGTACAAAACTGGGCCAATTCAGACTTTCAGTCTCCGCGTACTTGTGCGGTATTAAGTATAGACTAATGGTCTTACTCTTAAAAAATAAATAGACTTACAAAGCTCTACAAAGTGGCGTTTTTATAAAAAAGCTTCAATTTAAAAAGCGGTTAAAGTCTTCTTTATTTTCTATGACTTTGAGCGTAAGGTTTCGTATTTGGGTTAAAACAGATCTGTGGAAGGTGACCATCGCTATAAGATTTTTATTCCATTACATTTGTTGCCATTTGCTTTTGCATCGAACAGACCTTTATGTAGTACAAACTTTTCGATCACTATTTCCCCGAACACACCGTGAAATTTGTAATCTCGTAAAAGGTGTGATTTGTGGTTTTGTGGTGAGTTTCACCACTTGGCCTGGCACGGCGAAAGAAAATTTCCTCACTATGGGTTCGAGACCGGGCTAAGCCAGTAAATAGTACATCAGTGTTGCCAGGTAGAAACTAAGTGATTATGAACAGTTTTTAATGCACATAGTGAAGTTGCAGTTTGAGAACAAAAAAATGAAGATTAAACTGTAATTTTATTCCAATTAAAAATATTTTGTTAAATGAAATGCGAATTTTTAAAATTTCGTACAACAAAGTAAAACTTTTTATTCTTATATACAGCAATTAGAAGCTAGCATAAATTAAAAAGAAACAAAAGGCTTCCTAGTTGTTTGTTAAAATTTTTTACATGTTGACGATTTTTACATGCAAAAGGCACTTTTTGATAACCACACTAACGCTTTCTCACTATAATCACCTGGCAACACTGTACAGCATGCACCACAAAATACATTTTTTTTTTCGCCGTTTATTCTCAAGTTGTGCAACTGACAACCAGATGGTGCTGCTTGCCATACATTTATGAAGGCTCTCCTTTCGCCCAATCACGTATGTCAAACTTTGAGCTAATCGTATGTCAAAGTTTTGACACAGCAATAACTTCCTGAATGACTGAAAATTTCATTCTGGATTTGGCACGTGGTAAGTTTGGTAGTAATTAGTAAATTATTAGTTATTCAACTCATTCATTTCATTACAGACTGTTGGGACGAGATATATTGAACTCGTTACTACGCATTTTAGATCACCGGTCGTTTTCAAATGGATAATTTCCTTAATGAAGCGCAACGAGTGCGCTTTTTGTTGCAACACTTTACGTGGAGTCGATTTCTCCTCTCGTATAATGGCTAGAAGTAGATGAAGCTCCTCTTTATCAAAGTACATGTTGTCGGTATGGAATTTCACAATTGTATTTTCATTGTCAATATCGAATTGACGTATGGTAAGACGTCGGTGCTTATTTCTTAATTCTTCGATTTTCTGTTGAGAAATCTTGGAGCCAAACTTCGTGTACGCATCGTGGATAAGCATTTGCACTGATTGTGTTTTAGATTTTCGCTTATCCGCTGGTGTTGGTAGTTGATATTCTGGATTGTAAATTCCGTCCAAGAATTTAGAAAGCACCGGCATAGCTTCGCCGTCATCGTTGCATTTGAGTAGCTGTTCGCAGTTCCATTCCAGAATTTGGAGTGCAATCACAAAAATTATCTTGGCACCATCGTAAAAGAAACAATCGATTATATGTAATGAACTTTCATATGAAATGACACTTATGAAAATAGTTAATAGTCACGACAGTGAGATCATACGAATTATACCCAACTGCTCCAAGTGACTATGCAACTCGGGTAGATATGTCTCAACGAGCTCATTTAATACGCTTTGATCGATTTGTGCACCTACTACTTTGTCTTTGTAGTAGTCAGGCAGCAAGTTTTCACAAAGGCTTGCTAGCAACCAGAATGCATTCTCTTCGTCGCAAAATAGCAGAAATACTGATGAAACGATATTCATGGCTTGACAGTAACCCACGTGAGGATTGCGCAATGCGTATGCTTGCAATACGCGTCTCAGTGCGCCTATACCGTCTGCATGGTGAAACGCCGGGTGTTCTGGCAGCGAACGGTGAAGGTCGCGATCAATTTCGTCGTGTATAGAGGATTGTTTAATACATGCAGCTTTTTCAACCAAGTCTTCATATAGGCCAGGATTCATATCCTTATCGTGTATTGCACCGGAAAATACTAGCCAGATCTCCTGACGCAGTTTATCAGGAATGCCTTCCACAATCAAATTAATTACTTCTGTTGTACGAAACATTGAAATGCCGCGCCCAAAATCACGGAAATGTAACTCCCAGCGTGCCAGCTTTTGTTCTTGAATCTTCAACATTTCCTCACTCAAATTAGTCTTGAATGAGTTCATGAGAGCGGCTTGTTTACTCCAGGATATATCGTATTTTGCACGCTCACGGCTGAGAGGAACGTGGAATTGTGATAGCAGCTCGCTAATTTTTTCTACCACCAACACCCACATAGAATCACATCGGAGTTTTTCAACTGCCTCAACCGATCGCCACATTTTTCCACATTGGTCACAACAGCATCACGTTCGTCTACGACAACCTGAGTTTTTCGCACCACAACCAACGTGCCACAAGAGCTATACCAAGCGTTTTTCTTCGGTTTGCTACACAAGCAGCGGTTTTTGGTTCATCGCTTAACCGGGTGTTCATCAAATCAACGTTTTTTATTGCATCACAGCATCACGTTTGCATCACAGCAGCACTAGTGTCAGCAAAACATTTTTTAACAAACAAGCATATCGCACTACACAGCATATAACAACACATTAAGGTACGTGGTTGAATTTCATTGCACTTGTGTGTGTACGAATTCGAACAAAAAAAAAAAACGCGCGTGATTATTTTGTAAAAATAAAAAGGGAAGAAAACTCAGTGCTTAATATTTTTCCGAAAACAAAAAATATAGAACATTTTCACGTTTATTGGTGTATCGGCTAACATTAACGAATTGCGCGAACGTCCATTTTGATTCTTGATACGGTGTTGTTTGTGTAAAAATACCAGTCGCATTTACCGAAGCACAAGATTGATAAAATTTATTCTTTTCTTGCAAAGCACAGAATTTAGTTTTTTCTTATTTTACTGGCTTTCACTTTTATTTGCATTTTATTAATCGCGTAACTTCAAGTATATTTTGCGAAACTCCTTTGGTTTCTTTTCACATTGCACTTGTCTATTATTAGTGGCGCGCTTGTACATATTGCTGATCACTTCACTGGGTTGTTTCCCCCAATTTATTTGTTTGTTGCACAAAATCACAGCCGCGCTTGAATAAACACAATTTTTTGATCGCAAATTTTAAATAAATTACATATTGTGAATTTCAATCATTTACACACGTATATCACATTTTTCGGTGAAGTTGGGTGGCGAGTGACTTGCACATTTTTTGTATATACGCACATATACATACGTAATTACGTATTCGACAGTCTTACTTGGCTGCAAAATAAATAAATCGTTATTTAAATATACAAGTTATCCTTTGTTGTTCTCATAAGAACTAAGCTTATTTCGGGCTAAGCGGTTAGTGGCAATATTTTCCTACAAATCGGCGATTTCTATTACTACAGACAAATTTATTTTCTTGCGTCCAATTGAGTGGTCTTCGGTTGTCAAAAATGGATACCTTTATTCGTCAGGCAGATTCAGTAGCAGAATTCGAATCTGACTACAATACTATGCAACCATCAGAGCACACAAAGCACTCCTTAGCTTTCCAAAGGGATGAATTAAAGGCTCTGTGGGAAAGGGTAAAGGGGTCTTATGAGGAGCTTTGCGCATCAAAAGAGCTCGAAACCAAAGACCTGTCATCGGTTAAAAAGAAGTATAAAAGCACCTACTTCAGTTTTTTGCGGTGCCAAGCAGCGATGGCTGATCTTTCAGAGCAACTCGCAAAGACTGAAAAGGAGAGCGAATACAAGTCAGGTCGCGAGCTTAATATTCATCTCCCTCCTTGTGACACAGACATTTTTAAAGGAGATTATCTTTCGTGGCCATCGTTTAGGGATATGTTTACGGCTATATATATTCTCAATAAGCGCCTTATCCCAGTTGAGAAACTATATCAGCTCCGGCAAAAGACTCAAGGGGAGGCTAAGGAAATAGTGCAGAGATCCCCATTAACCAACGATGGCTTTGGTGCAGCCTGGAAAAATCTTTGTGACAGGTACGAAAATAAACGTATCCTCGTCAACGCTCAGTTAAAGGTATTGTTTAATTTGAACGCAGTTGAGAGTGAATGCGGTAGCTCTATCAAGAAACTGCAACGCGACATAAATAATTGCATCTCGTCGCTTCAGTGTCATCAGATTGATGTTTCAAATTGGGATGCAATATTCACATATTTGTGTTCGACAAAACTGCCAGAAACGACACTGGCACTATGGGAGCAAACCATAGAAAATAAAACTGAGATTTCCAAATGGGTAGATATGGATAAATTCCTATCCAATCGGTTTCAAACACTGGAAACCGTCACAGGTCTTAGGGGGGATATAGTTTCGAAACTTAAACCACCAAGCTCGCGGAATTCTGCAGAGACGCCTGCAAAAAAGCTTGGCGCCTTTCAAGCCAGTGTAGCAAAGGCAACATGTAAAATGTGCAACAGCAATGCACACAAGCTATCAAAGTGCGACAGATTTTTGCGTCTAAAGCCGACGGAGCGAGTAGATTACGTGAAGAGCATTCGCAGTTGCTTGAATTGTCTATCTGCTGGGCACACAGTCTCAAGATGTACCAGCTCATTTAACTGCAGCACTTGTCATTCGAGACATCACAAGTTGCTCCATATGCCAATTCAGCCAAAAGCGACAACTGATCCATCGGGTAGCGTGGAATCTACTCCAAACCAGGCTCAATCAAGACGCGAATCTGGAAAAGGAAACATCAAATCGGTTACAAATGTAAATTCTTGTTACGCAAATACAAGTAAAGGAGTTTTGTTAGGAACAGCACGCGTAAACATACACTATAATGGTATACATTTTTCGGCTAGAGCGGTTATAGATTCTGGTTCTGAGTGCTCGTTCATTACTGAGACACTCAAACGGAGAATCAACCTGCCATCAAAATGCTTGCATGCCCAAGTTTCGGGCATCAATAACTCTGTATCTGCGCAAGTAAAAGAAGCGTGTGCTATTCAACTTCGTTCACCCACAGACCCGTTAATTAATATAGAAGCAATTGTGCTGGTTTTACCACAATTAACCGGGGATCTTCCGACTTGTCAGATAAGCGCAATGACGCGGCAATCGTTCCCAGACTTGGTCTTGGCGGACAAAAGATTCTTCGTCAATGAGCCAGTTGACCTGGTCTTAGGAGGAGATATTTACCCGCAAATAATTTTAAGCGGAATGAGGAAGAACGTATTAAATACGCTTCTCGCGCAAGAGACCGTGTTCGGTTGGATACTGACTGGTCGCGCTGAGTCAGTCAGTCCAACTAACAATATCGTATCGTATTTTAACGAAGTCACGTTGGACAAGCAGCTAGCTGCATTTTGGGAGCTGGAGGATGTCCCAAAGAAAAAAGGCATCAACGAAGATGATAAATACTGCGAAGAGCTCTTCAAAGCAACTACAACACGAAATACCGATGGAAAATACATTGTGTCTCTACCTTTTAAACGGGATTTTCCGAAAAATGTGTGCTTAGGACCTTCGCTGAAAAGTGCATGCTCTCAGTTCTACCGGAACGAGACGCGACTAGCGAAAAAGCCTGTCCTTCAAACAGAATACAACCGGGTTGTATCGGAATACGAGACCCTAGCACATATGTCAAAAATTAACAAAAACATTTCACCAGATTCAACGGACTGCTATTTTTTACCGCACCACGCCGTTTTAAAGGAAGAAAGTACCACTACAAAGGTCAGGGTTGTATTCAACGCATCATGCCCAACCGCTAATGGCATGAGTTTGAATGATGTCCTCCTTCCAGGTCCTGTACTTCAGGCCGATTTAACGATCCTCATACTCCGTTGGAGACTGTTCCAATACGTCTTCAACAGCGATATAGAGAAAATGTATCGGCAAATATTTGTAAATGAGAATCAAACGAAATATCAGCGCATAGTTTTTCGCACCTGCCCAAGAGAACCAATTAGCTTATACGAATTAAAAACGGTGGCTTTTGGCATCAACTGTGCTCCTTAGCTCGC